AAATGCACAACTTCCGTCCTCTTTGACAAAAGCATAATGAATAATATAGAAAAACACTGACAAACAGACAAAAACACCTGCAATATAAAAGCCCAAATACCAGTAACCTTTCAGCTGTCAGTATTCGCTCCAGGAAGCCTTAGACAGCTACCGGCACAACCATTACAAGCACGAACATGCAGTCTGCTGTATATTTGTAGAAAACTTATTAAGTATCAATTAAACAGGTAAAGTTGTAACCAATGTACTGATATGAAGTTTCCTTTTTCTTGTACGGACTGATATCATTCAGCTGTTAATATAGAGCACATTCTAGTTCATGTTGCACATTTATTTATTTTTCTATTAAAGTTGTCAAAGCACTGATGTAAAATTATAAATGAACTATTTATTTTATAATGCTGTACATTTGCTGTTATATAAGATGATTTAACAGAGATGACAACACATAACATATATTTTCCTTTAACTTGAGACTTCTGTGTATTTAAACATTTGTATGTGTTTTGTTTTGTTGTTGTTGTTTTTGGTATTGCTTGTTGTTTTTCTTAGCTCTGAAAATGCTGCTGGACGGGAATGTTATTTAGTATGTGTCACTAAAAGAGGGGCTAAGTGAGACACGTATCTTCACTGCTGGCCCATCTGTTTTCAGCCACACTAGCAGTTAAACACTCTAAAAATGTCATTTAAAACCTTTCTAATTTACCTCAGTGACTTTTTTTTTTAGTTAAAAAAAGAAGAAAGGCGTAAGTAAGTAAGTAAGTTCTGAATATACCCTCAATTTTGCCCACTCCCTCAATTTTATTACATTTATATAAAACTGTTGCAGTTTTGCTGACAGATTAAAACTTAAGTTAATGTCATAAATCAATCATCATAGCAAAAACAATAGCTATAAATGAATGTTTTTAGTATGTAAATGACCTGACTTTATTATATTTAAATTATACCACTATGTGGCAGCAAAATGCATGGATATATGTCTAATTTCATAGTAGCTGCTTATTGTTAGTTTTGATATCACCCTCATTGTTATTCACTTTTTTAAAAAGCACAAACAGATCTAAAAATTGCATCGCTAACTTTCAAATTAAAACCATTTACAATTATCTCAGTTATCTCCTTCTGAGAAATTCTAAGTCCATGTAGCCTTTTTCTCTTTTGATGTGGCACAAAAAATGTTTTAAATAATCATAACAAATAAAACAACATGGAGAAATAAAGTGACATGCTAATTTACCTCAATAATCCTACCATCCATACAACATGAACGGGGGAACTGTTTGGCCAATATCACAGGTGTCGTTCAGATTATTAGAATACGTGATTATGTATGACGCAGTAGGACGGTTGCTTAACAGCTTTCATTTGCAATATTTTATTTATAATTTCCCTCTTTTTATTTATGTAACTTATCTGCTCCATTCTGACACGCAGTGGCTGGTAAATATATTGCATATACATTCTAATAATGCTTCTCTTTAGCCTGACCAGTTAAACTTGGACCTATAAAATTAATTCTAAAATATTGCTGGTCCATTCAGCTCCTATGAGATATTTTGGAAGAATTGCTGTTGTAGTTGTTTTGTCTAGCTGTTTAATATTTTGTGCTATATTTGTTTTGGTTAACTGATTAATAACAGTTATATGAGTGTTTTCCTCAATAGACTTAAAAATTATCTGCCACCTACCAATGATATGTTTTTCATCATAAATATGTTTTATGGTTTAACTATAATTGATCAATCTCATAGGACTGCTGGTGTGGCTGTAAAGCTCTTTGTCTTATTTCGTGTTCTTTGACTTTCCAGATACGTGAGCCAGATTCCCTTCGGTGTTTGTGTGTCATATAACCATCCAGGTCACCACAATATTTTTGAAATAGTTTTTATTCATGTGAAATATAGCAATGTCACAGCAAGTGACAAAGAGTAAAAATGAATGTGACTGATGCACTTTTTTTCACCTGAAAGCAAATAATGTTGGTACTAATTTTGTTTTTCGTAACTATAGAGTTAAATTTAAGGTCAGTGTAAAAGCAATATTCTGTTATTTAAACAGCACATCAGCTGTGGGTGATCTACACGCTGTAAGAAATTATTATGACTTGAATGTATGTGTGTGTTTGCATTTATAAATGTGTGTGTTTGTGTAGAGCTAGACTGGTGTGTGCAGGGCCTTACTGAGCACACATTTCAGGTGTTATCTGTGCTGGAGACACATTTAGAAACACCCCTTTCTATGTTCTTCCCAAGTCAGTTGAACGAATGATTCACAAGTATTGTAAAACTTATAAGCATAGTTATATAAATGTAAATAAAGAATGGGAAAAACTGTGTTTGTTTTTGTGGCTTTTTACTACAAAGCTGAGAACATAGCGGCATTTTTTTTACATTTTCTGAGCTTAAGGTGATCAAAATGAGAGACATTTGTTAAAAACCACTATATTAGAAAAAAGAAATTGGTTTTCGTTTAGATTCTGGTAGTATGATTCTTATTTGGTGCATAAAGGTTAAGCTTTCAGGGATTTAAAAGTTCAAATTTGAAGAACATTAATTCTAATTCACATTTCAATATTTTCATAAGGGATAAAAAAGGTTTACAGTGGAGCTGTTGTTAAATTTGTACCAAAGGCATCTTAGTCAGGTCGGTATATATTGTTGGATGAGCTGATGAGGGGGAGATTGCTTGGGTTTATGCAGAAATTAATGAAATATCAAAGGGTAATAATGGCTACATCAGGATCATCTTAGTCACATTAAGATAATTAATTTCTGCAGTAAATCTCAGCCACGTGAAAGCCTTAGGATGTAGGGCTGTGGGATTCTGCTAAATGAATCCCTTTCTTTGTCTTGCAGAGGTAAACAGCTATATGCATTAGAGAATCAAATAATTAAGAATATGTAATGATTTTTTATGTATCCCATCTATAATCATTTAAAGTGTCTGAATGAGTTTTATGCATCTATCTGAAATTCAAGTGCAATGTGTAAAATTATATTATTGCACACAATACAGTTAACTTTGGTCCATTCTACCAGCTAAACCAATGGGAAGGTGAACTCTCACCAAGATAGGATAAGGTTTTCAAACCAAAGGAGTAATTAGTCCCAGGAGCAAAACACGGTTCCAAGGTTTGTGTCCAGGTTCCTGGCGGTCAGTGGATTGAGAGGGTTTTTGTGTCTGTCTTGTCTTCTGATCGTGTCCTGCTCCTTCTCTACAGAACCCTCAGGGTTCTGGCTCAGAACACGGAGAAGGTCAGTTTTATGCCCGTAAGCCTGGCTCCAAGAGGAGACCAGTTTAAAGTCCTGCTGAAATCCTGGTACAACATCTTGTCTCTGTTCCCTCAACCACTGAGCCTGCCTGGCTGCTTCTGTGCATATCTGTGTGGGCACACTTCTGCTCCCGTCTATCTCTGGACTCTAAACCTGCCTGAAGGCTCTGAATTCCTGGAACCCCGTTTCTGTCTGTTCCTGTGTGGATCTGAACCCTTGATCGAGCTGAGAACTCCTAGGTCTCAGCATTGTCCGGTTCTGACCAGGATCGGTATCCTATCAGCTCTCTGTGGTTACTGCTCTGATCGAGGACATCCTGGACGGCTCTGTGTTTGATCCCGTTCGGCAGTCCATCAGATGGATCCTGTCTTTCCATGCAGAGAATGGACCGAACTGTTTAAACAGAGAGTGTCAGTGATTGGGTGGTTCCCGCCCCCCTTTCCCCACAGTCGCTGCAGGTCCATAGATCCACAGCAGCCTTTTTCTGTTCTATTATGTTCGGTTTTGTTTTAATAACCTTTTTGAACTTTACTACTTGCTGTCTCACCTTGAATAATGGGTCTATCTGTCCCGTTTATGACATCAACATCAACTCCAGTACAAATGATGTCACCAGTTAGAGCAAACTCTGCTAAATGCCCCAATTCTGCCAAATGAACTGTTCAGCAGCTAAGCTCCTCCTCTTGCTGTTTTTATGTTTTACCCTCAGGTTTTATTATGAAGGTTTGCCTATTTTGGAGTTTGATTTGATACAAATCATAAACAACTCCCTTATGTACGTTGTTTTCCCCCAGGGCCTTAAAAACAGCAATTATCAAACCTTGTTGACAAAGAAAAGCTTGGGAAAATTACAGGACTACAGACCCATCTCAAACCTCCCCATAAGCAGTAAGACTATTGAAAAAGTTGTGTTTCAACAGTTAAATGCTTTCTTAACAATTATAAACTGCTTTGATGTCTTTCAGTCAGGTTTCCATGCCAACCACAGTAGACTGCTCTAATTAAGGTGTTCAAGGACATCTGTATAAACTCAGGCTGTGGAATAACCACAATGCTGTTGTTACTAGATCTCAGTGCAGCATTTGATACTGATATTTCACTCAATTTTATTTAAAGTGTTTGGCCTTTCTGGTACAGCACTGGGCTGGTTTAAATCCTACCTGAAGGACAGGGACTTCTGTGTGTCAGTAGGTATCTTTAAATCAGACACCAGAAAAATCACATGCGTAGTCCCTCAAGGCTTGATCATGGGGCCCCTCCTATTAAACATCTACATGCTCCTTCTGTAAAAGTTCAAAAAATATCCACTGGACTTGGTTTCCAAGATTTGAAGACGTTTCGCCACCTCTTCAGGAAGCTTTCTCAATTAATTTATGTAAAGCATTTTTAATTGTTCTGAATTGTGTTATACTGTATAAATTAACTTGCCTTGCCTTGATGTGTAATGAGGGTCAACTCAAATGTAATTCCTGCAATCCTGAAATTTGTTTCAAATATTCATGCTGTGGTTCAAATAAAAAAAGAAGACATTCAACTAACAAGCTGGAGCTGAGCTCAGTGATCTTCACTCAATCAGCACTTTAATAATTATTGCAAGAACAGTTTATAGAAGAAGTGGCCCACTAGGCATTCCATCTTTGATCCATCCATCTCATGGAAAAACCTTTTTTAAATACAAAAACTTAAACTCTGTTAGGTTTCTCAAATAATTAACAGGGGTGGTCATAACAAGGTCTTTAGCTGTGCCAAAAAAAACATCCATAAGACAAAAAAAAAACAGAACTAAGAACATGCCTAGTATAAATAAAAGAGGCAAAGTAGCAAAGTAGTTGGCGAAGATAAAATTGCAGCACAAAGTACATGGTTCAAACAAGCAATTGCATTTATGAAACAATGATATAAATCATTTACAAAAAGGTATGAAAGGTCCCATATTATCAACATTTGAAAATAAAACATTTTAACAATGAGAACCCCAGAGCATGGTTTTTCTGTTTTTGCAAGATAATTGCTCTCAGATTAGGCAGACAGCCTTTAGCTAAAATGTCTTTGTTCGGCCCTCCTCTGGAGGAGCTGTTTTGGCTTTCCATACCCCCTTCCCCACAAACCGCAATCATGGCATCTAGTCAAAGTTCGTACACATAGGGACTAGAAGAAATTAATAATTCCTTAGATGAAGGCCGTAGCTTCAGGGATTGGCTGCTACAGACCTCTCTGGACAGCTTATTTCCCCTTATGACATCACAAGGGGAATGTTATTTAAACGGACCATTTTGAGCACACATTGGCTGAGAGGTGGATGAAGGCAATGAAAGAGGTGAAAAGATTTTTTTTCATTTTCTGAATCTCATACACAGGCTTCAGGACCCATATGATGGTTAAATGTTTAAAATGTTAATGTTGCATAATATAGGACCTTTTAACAATAAACATAAAAATACAATATATAGATGTTATAGGTTATAGATGAGATTCAAATTTGCAAATCATTTCCTAGAATAGGACAGATTCACCTTTTCTGACAAATGTGTTGAGTTATGTGCATTAAAGGGAAAGGGAAATAATATAAAAGCCAGCAAATTAAAATAAGTCTTAAGCTGCGGCCTCTCTAATGTGCAGTGGAAGGCTACTTCGCAAATAAGAAGCAGTGACAGAGAAGTCATCATGAAGCTACAGGTCAGGTCACACTTTAGCCTGAGTTATAAGAATCTCTGTAAAAATCAGCTGTGTCATTTTAAATCACAGATCCTAATGCAGCATTTGTCATCCAGCCAGAATCCTGGATACAGCGGCTCTGTGAAATTGGCCTTCAGTTTGTACAGAAATGTCATGCTGTCCGAGACCTCAAAGAAGGACAGACTTCCCTCCTTGAATTCTAGATAAACGCCTATCTTTTTACTGCTGGGCCTTTGTTCTAGCTTTATGCTTTCTGTTTTGTGGCTCACAGAGTAGGAATTAGAGAGATCTAGACTCCAGGACTTTTCGTTGGCTCCAAAAGCTGACTTTTTTGTACTACTTTTCCTATCCAACCCTTTGTAAGCAAGAGCGATCTCTGCCTTGCCTCCCTTGACCTCCACTTCATAGTAGCAGCGCTCAGCCTGCAGACCCTCCCTGCACAGCACCTGGCGTCGACTGTTGAACCTCTCTGGAAAACATGCAGATGGGATTTGGCACCCACGGGGGGACAGCTTCACCTCTTTGTCATTATCAGAGATGATCAGGTCCTTATGAGCTGTTGCAGGGTCCAGAGAGAGCTCACAGGCATCTGGGTAATGAAAGAGAGGAAAATGATGAAGTTTCAGGAACAGAAAGTCAGGAGAGCACAATTAGATCTGAGGATGAACTCACACTGTAGAAAATCTTCTCTGGTTTTAGGCTCCATGTCCTTCTTACCCATGTTGCCTGAGTTGAGGCATTGCACAACATGATTATTGGCTGCATGCTGCCCTCTTGTGTTGAACAGTACATTGCAAAAAGAAAACAGGAAAGTTTACAGACCAGCACTAGATTGATGTTTCTGCTGCTGATCCTCTGCATCCCTCTTTTCCACTGATTCCTCTTGGTCATTATTGCCTTTTGACAGAGAAACAGTGATCAGTTTGTCAAATACATGGATTTTACATATATATATATATTCTATATTAACAGCACATACAAGTTTGAAAGATTAAGGGAAGTTGTTGGTCACAGAAGTCTCCCAGCTTCTCTCCAAGCTGATCTATTGCTCTCTTTGTAACTTTAAAAGAGAAAAGTGGATCCTTTGATCCCTCACTGAAGGAGAGAAGGTCTTTCTCACATATGCTTTGCATATTGCTCCATTTCTGGGGAAAGGAACAGGTTTTAATGCAGAGGGGGGTTACAACAACAACACAGGTGAACGTCTCACCAATGCAAATTACTTTACCTGCAGAAAAAGCACGCTGTTTTCACTCTCTGCAAGGCGATCAAGCTCAGCATCCATCTTTTTAATTTCCTCCATCTTTGTCTCAAGGTTTTGAAGCGTGATGTCGATCTGATCTTCCACTGTCTTTGCTTGAGTTTCAATCATCTCCCTCATAGACATGCAATGTCTCTGAAGATGATCAATGGCTCTAACTATGATCGTTTCACAGTCCTCCATCATTTTGTTGGCCTCCTTCTGTTTTAAACCCAGCAGAACAGGATTAGCGTCACTTATCAGCTGGGAGCGTGCAAACACAATGAACCAACAGGGTTTCCTCACCTCTATTTGATCAAATATCTTCTTTATATTCTCCTGCTGCTTCTGCTGCTCCTGAAGTCTCTCCCTCAGCCTTGTTTGCATGGTTCTCAGCTCCTCCTTGGAACATACAGAATAAGTCTTTATTTATACCAAAACCATTTTTTTCCTAATGTATAATAGTTTGTCTTTCCACCAATCAGTCTGCACATTCATTAAATGATGTTTTCATTTTTTCTCTTTGAATTCATGCTTTTGGACTTTATTTTGTTTTCTTATAAATGACAAGTCAGACCTCTGTGCATATGGACCATATAGGCAGCTGCACAGGGTGCCCATATGTAACTCATGTAATCAGTGTAAAGTTGCAATTTCAAT